ACACAAAACAACCTCAAAGAGACACAGAACAACCACAAGGACACACAAAACAACCACAAAGAGACACAAAACAACCACAAGGTGATGCAAAAACACAAAAAAGATATCGAGTCTTTGTGTCTTGCTCTTGTGTAGGAGAGGAGCCCAAAGAGGCTCTGTGCATATCTTTGCCCAGGAGCCCATTGCTTCATAATCCATCCATGTATAAAGGATGAATAAAGATGATTTATTCACTTTCTGGCTGCACCAGGCTACACGTGAGGAGTCTGCCTGTCTGGGTGACTGGCTGCCACACTCTGCTGGGACATAGGAAATGCACTTTGCATGGAAATATATACAGAGGAGTCGTGACAGGCTGAGAACAGACGCTGAGACAGGAGAAGGTCAGAATCTGTCCAAACATACAAACACAGTGACGGAACAACAGGAATGAGTGTGTTTATTTCCTTGAGCAGAAACACGTGGATCTTTTTTGTCCTTGTTCTTAGTTCTTAAACCTCTAATGACCTCTGCTGTCCAGTCGTCGTGTGAATTTGAGAACAACACTTTCAGTATTCAGTGTTAAAGATTCTTCATCTTACAGCCTGCAGATGTTTGGTTCCTGTTCTCACTTCGTCCCTGCATGTTTTCAGCTGCTGTAAAGCAGAGCACTGCAGACAGAGAGCGACAGGCCGGGAAAAGTTTGTGTTACGCTCCTTCAAGATCCATTTTTAAAGCTCCTCCATAATTTATAAACCAGCTGTGACAAAAGAAATATTATAAGTTGGTCCAGCACTTTGTTCCAGACTGAAAATCTCCACAACTATTGGATGGATTGCTTCGAATACTTGGAGTATAAACCCTCTAGATTTTGTTGATCCTCTGACTTTTACTGTAGCGTGAGGTTTACACTGAAGTGACTTAACAAATATTAGCTGGATTGTGATGAAGTTTGTTAATCGTTTATGCTCCGCTCAGGATGAATTGTAAAAACTTTGGTGATCCTCTGGCTTTTTATCAAGCACCATCATCAGGTCAGCATATTAATGTGTCCTATTCTTTGGTTTATGAGCAAATACCTGCAGAGCTTATGGCATTCACATAGCTGGACCTTGTCTTTAGTCCGAATAATACGCTAACCTTTTTCCTTCCTGTGTTGGTCAGGAACGACCATGATCATGTGTTCATCAGTAACTCACCACATGTTACAATCAATTCATAAAGAGAACTTTGTTTCACTCGCATGCCTCCACGGTGAACAAAGAATCCAACAGCTGAGAAAATATTGCATGTATTTAACGTCACAGGCGGCCGCGTTTAACAACAGCAAAACTATATCAAAACATGTTTAAAGACTCTCACACAGCTCTTCCACTATTTTCCAAATCTCATTTATCCAGTCATGCGATCAGTACAGCAAAGACTGTAAAGACAGCATGGTGAAGTTTCACTTTCAGTTCAGTTCCCTGACAGAGCGAGCAGTCTGTCTGTGAAGTACTGAGCGTACGGCTGAATGAATGAGACTTGGATTATGCTGCACGAGGTGTGTGAGAGTGTGTAAACAGATGTTTTGATATGACTTCACTTCAGCAGGGAGTTTCTCGGTTGCTCGGTTTTTGGATTCTTTGTTCACCGTGGAAGCATGAAAGAAAATAAAAGTTTTCATCCCAAACTCAGTGTAACGTGGGGTAAGTATGATATCAAATGATCGTCTGGTGGGTGAA